AGGAATAGAGGGTCTGACTTATAAAAATAGGTTGGACAGGCTGGATTTTTTTTCCACTGGAGCACATGAGTTTGAAGGGTGATTTTACAGAGGTTTATAAATGAGGACCATAGATAAGGTCAATAGCAAATGTCTTTTTCCCTAAGGTGGGAGAGTTCAAAACTAGGGGCCATATTCTTAAGGTGAGAGGAGAAAGACTTAAAAATGAAATGAAGGGCAATTTTTTTTACACAGTAGTTCATGTGTGGAATGAACTTCCAGAGGAAGTAGTGGTTGCGATTACAATGTTGAAAGGACATTTGGATAAGTACATGAATAGGAAAGGTTTGGAGGGATATGGGCAAAATGCAGGCAGGTGGTACCAGTTTAGTTTGGGATTATGATCGGTGTGGACTGGTTGGACCGAAGGGTCTGTTTTCGTGCTGTACGACTCTGACTCTACAAGTAAATCTTGTTTGTCCAGAATGAAGCTGACTGGTTTCTTTTATACCTTGATGTCCCGGGTTTTGGCTCGCAGCTTGTTGACTTGAGATTCAGCTATCTCAGCACGTTCCTCCGCATCATTCAGCTCATGCTGCAATGTCCTGTATTTGCTGAGGTTTGTGCTGGCATTTCCCTCCTGTGATAAAAGCACAATATTATATTTCTGCAGTAAATGAAATGGATATCACTGTGCAGAACTTACAGAAGCACAGCTTTACTTACAGCCTCTTCAGCCTGCCGCTTGTAGTTCTTCACTTTCAGTTGCAGTTTATCAATGAGGTCTTGCATACAAATGATGCTCTTCCTGTCCTCCTCACCCTGGGCAGGGAATTGAAAGGTTAATACCAGACCTGCAATTTCATAAACTTTCTAAACCTTAAATCCAATAGAGTAATCAGTGGGGCCATAACCTATCCTGCTTGGAGAAACTTTTTTTATTTAAGTGGACCACAATCCTTTGATTATTCTGGAGAAATTTCAGTAGAAGAATTTATAGTTGACCAGTGGAGTTTAATCATCCCTTTGTACAATTTAAAAATCATTCAGGTGCCTGGAAGAGACAATGTTGTAGCTGACACCTTCACAAGAGCACAGTGAAGGAAACAAACTATGTTGAGGGCACATTTTCATTCATCTGAGTGGAGATGTGATCAAAGGAGTCTGATTATATATAAAATCATTACTAGAGTTTGAACTTTAAAGGGAATGGTTACTGTTCTGAAGGGTTTAATAAAAACGAGGTCAGATGGTGAGAGAGCATGGAGCTGGATTAATCTTCACGTGAAGAACATTGGGAAGCAATGCAGAATTAAGTGCAGGGTGTGCAGGTGCAGATGGAGCATATATGTGCAGAATTCATTCAAGGTGGCAGGATTGGTTGAGAGTGTGGTTAATAAAACATCAATTATCCTGGATTTATAAACAAGAACGTGGAATACAAGAGCAAGGAAGTGATGTTGAATTTGGATAAGGCACTGGTTTGGCCTCAACTAGAGTATTGCATCTAATTCTGGGGAAGGCTGGGAAGGCATCGGAGGGATTGCAGCAAACATAATTCACAAGAATGGCATTAGACATGAGGAGCCACAGATATGAGAGAGCCTGGAGGTTAGGATTGTTTCCATTGGTGAAAAGAAGTTTGAGAGGAGATCTGATAGATCAGTGGGTACAGATTTAAAGTAATTGGTAAAAGAAGCATAATCATGAGAAAATCATGCAGCAAGTAGCTAGGATCTGGAAAGCGTTGTCTGACAGTATGATGGAGACAAGTCCTAACAGCACATTCAAAAGAAATTTAGAAAGAGAACAGTTTGCTGGGTTACTGTTTGTTTGGAGAGCTGATGCAGATACGATGGGCCTCTCGCACTGTAATAATTCATTGATTGTGGAAATTTCATTCCCCTCACCTGTCAACTCCTACCTTCCTTTCCTCCTTTCAGACATTCATTCTAATGTGCCTATTAACCAAGCTTTTGGTCACCTGACCCAACATCTCCGTACGTGGCTCAGTGTCATAGAGTTCACTAATGTTTTTGTGAAGTGCCTTGGGATGTTTCCCATTGTTAAAGATGTCATGGGAAGGGTAAGTAACTTTTCAATCAGTTTGAGGTCAGCCTCAAATGAGTGAAGTTGGAGCTCTTTGCAGTAAAGTGGCAAATAACAGGAAGACTGTTTTCCTGATGGAGATCTGGACATGCGTGGAAGGGTTTGATAGGACAGAGGTAGAGATGATGTGCCCATTTGTGGGAGAAACCAAAACCAGAGGTCATAAAAATGAGGCCATTATATCCAGCAAAGAATTCAAGAGAAATTCCGTTGCCTAGACAATAGTGGAGCTCCCTACCATAGGCAGTGGTTGAGGTGAATAGTATAGATGTACTTAAGGGGAATCTAGCCAAACAGATGGTCAAAAGCAATCAAAATCAATAGGAACCCCCCTGCTACCAAGTGACCTCTGCAAGATGTATTGTGGGGAGCTGTGTTTCTTTTGGAGTTGGGATGTCAATGGAGTCTGGGTCAAACATTTGAAGTAGGGGAAGCTGCTGGTAATTGGTCAGTCAGTACTAAGCTGTGACAGGATGGGAGCAGTTCCTGAAACATGGATGCAGGGAGGACATGGTCAAAGAGTAGAATTCCAAGGAGCTGAGGGGGACAAGTGTTACCAGAATGCCACTGCTTCATAAAGGTAATGTGAGCAATTCAGCTTCCGGCTCCAGGAAATGCAGTGAGGATTGGGACACGAGGGGTGAAAGATTCTGCATAACTTGGCAGCGTTTTACAAGCTCTGCGCACCGTACCTGGTAGGTCAGCTCCTTAATTCTGCGCTCATACTTTCGAAGGCCTTTCAGGGACTCTGCATTTTTTCTCTGTTCAGTCTCAAGCTCAGACTCCAGTTCCCTCACCTGGTAAACAGAAAACAGAAAGAATGTGAGCTATTCAAGTAAGGCTTTGCTAAAACAAAAAATGCTGCAATTCAGGCTTTTGACTTTTGTTTAGGAAATGGATATCAAAATGAATTTTAGTCCATCTAAAAATGGTTCTATATATGTTTAATAAAAGTAAATGAGCCCACAATTGGGTAATGATGGGAAAGTAGTTGTGTGGACTGAATAGAGTTGGATTGTGATGGGTATTTTGTCTGTTTTGTCCCAAATCATCATAGTTAATTGTATCTGATTTTTTTTTTTTTTAAATTGTTCATGGGATGTAGGTGTCACTGGCTAAGTCACCATTTACAGCCCATTTCTAATTCTGTCACGGTTTCCTTAGCCTAGCCTCAATTTTAAAGATATAGGTGTGTAGGTATGTGAATAAGATCTCAAGGAACAGAAGCTGTATCCTCAAGGACATTACTGTACATAGATACAACACAAGTTGAATCAAGTCCCTCTTAGACTGCTCATATGGGTGACTGGGCCAAAGAAGGATACCTAGCAGTGTTATAATTGAAATAGAACACAGAACAGTACAGCACAGTACAGGCCCTTCGGCCCACAATATTGTGCCAACCTATTATCCAGCTCTAAGATCAAAACTAACCTGCATACCCTTCAACATTCAAGATCTGATAACATTCAAGTCTGAATGCAGAACCAATAAACAGACTCCCACAATGACAGTAGGAACTGCCGATGCTGGAGAATCTGAGATAACAAGGTGTAGAGCTGGATGAACACAGCAGGCCAAGCAGCATCAGAGGAGCAGGAAAGCTGATGTTTCAGGCCCAGACCCTTCTTCAGAAATGGGGGAGGGGAAGGGGGTTCTGAATTAAATAGGGAGAGAGGGGGAGGTGGATAGAGAGAAGATAGGTGGAGAGGAGACAGACAGGTCAAAGAGGTGGGGATGGAGCCAGTAAAGGTGAGTGTAGGTGGGGAGTTAGGGAGGAGATGGGTCAGTCCAGGGAGGACGGACAGGTCAAGGGGGCAGGATGAGGTTAGTAGGTAGGAGATAGGGGTGGGGCTTGAGGTGAGAGGAAGGGAGGCGGGGACAAGCTGGGCTGGTTTTGGGATGCGGTTCGGATACTGTACTGTACTGTACAAGGCCTCCTACCCTCCCTCGACCTCTTCATCTCCAACTGCCGTCGAGACATCAATCGCCTCAACCTCTCCACCTCTCTCACCCACTCCAACCTCTCCCCGACAGAACGTGCAGCCCTCCGCTCCAATCCCAACCTCACCGTAAAACCCGCGGACAAGGGAGGTGCAGTCGTAGTATGGCACACTGAATTCTACATCGCTGAGGCCAGACGCCAACTCTCCGACACCTCCTCCTAGATCATGACCCCACCCCCAACCACCAAAACATCATCTCCCAAACCATCCACATCCTCATCACCTGAGGTGACCTCCCACGCACAGGCTCCAACCTCATCGTTCCCCAACCCCGCACCGCCCGCTTCTATCTCCTTCCCAAAATCCACAAACCTGACTGCCCTGGTCAACCCATCGGTCTCCGACTGCTCCTGCCCCACTGAACTTATCTCCACCTATCTCGACTCCATTTTCTCCCCCTTGGTCCAGGAACTCCCTACCTACGTCTGTGACACCACCCACGCCCTTCACATCCTCCAAAACTTCCAATTCCCTGGTCCCCAACACCTCATCTTTACCACGGACGTCCAGGCCCTATACACCTGCATTCCCCATGCAGATGGCGGAAAGGCCCTCCGCTTCTTCCTGTCCCGCAGGCCCGACCAGTCCCCCTCCACTGACACCCTCATCCGCTTAGCCGAACTCGTCCTCACCCTCAACAACTTCTCTTTCAATTCCTCCCACTTCCTACAGACAAAGGGGGTGGCCATGGGTACCTGCATGGGCCCAAGCTATGCCTGCCTCTTTGTAGGTTACGTGGAACAATCCGTCTTCCATACCTACACTGGCCCCAAACCCCACCTCTTCCTCCGTTACATTGATGACTGTATCGGCACCACCTCGTGCTCTCACGAGGAGCTCAGACAGTTCATCCACTTCACCAACACCTTCCACCCCAACCTTAAGTTCACCTGGACCATCTCTGATACCTCTCTCTCCTTCTTGGACCTCTGTTTCCATCTCTGGCAACCACCTGGAAACCGATATCCATTTCAAGCCCACCGACTCCCACAGCTACCTAGAATACACCACCTCCCACCCACCTTCTTGCAAAACTGCCATCTCCTATTCCCAATTCCTTCGCCTCCCCTGCATCTGCTCCCAGGATGAAGCATTCCACTCCCGAACATCTCAGATGTCCTCGTTTCTCAAGGACCGCAACTTCCCCTACTCAGTGGTCGAGAACGCCCTCGACCAGGTCTCCCGCAACTCATCCCTCGCACCCCCTCCCCACAACAACAACCAAAACAGAATCCCCCTCGTCCTCACGTACCACCCCACCAA